TGGAATGTCAGGTAAAGTCTACAGAGTGGTAGAATAAATACTAAATAAATGCGGTACATTCACTGTTGGCAGCCCTCTTGGCAAATTAGGATCATCAGCCCACAGATTTGAAGGGAAAACAGTTTGTATAGCAAAATAAACAGAGGAGGAGCCATCAACATTTCGTTCAAAGTTTGCTTCCCACCTGGAGCGAGTCCTAGACCTCTGACGGTAGTGTCGAGTCCGAGACTCAGAGTTCTTCACTGGGCAGGAATGTGACTGGGAGTAGGAATGTGAAGGTGAATGGCATCCCTGCCTGTCACGTCTTTCCTCATCTTCTATTCCTTTATTTGAGTTTTCCTGTCAGAGAGCAATAAAAAATAAACCTTGTTTTCATTATTCTTTCGTGAGTGTAGCATGGACTGGTAATGATATAGCACTTTCAACTAACAACTATTTGACCACACAAAGTGCTTTCTTATAACCAGCTTCATTAAACCCCCACACACACTTTCACAGCATCACACTCAGGTTTCACTGTGATGTGCTTATCCTGGCTTTTCCGCCTGAGCCAAAGCTGCCCCAGTTACATCAATATGTAATTTATTTGACCCATCTCCCCCCCAAAGTTATTTTCCCATGCACTCTCAGAACGTCTTCAGTGTGACTGTTACACACTTCCACCCTCAGAGTTGCAGTCTCAGTCCATCCACTTGTGCATTTGCAGAGGAAGCTGGATGTGTATAAAATGGAGAGTCTTCAACTTGATTTTGTGGAAGTGGGCGAAGTTGAAGGAAGGAAAATCTGACAGAAAGGGCGGCTTTTAAGCAACAATTGTGTTTTTATAAGCGAAACCCTTTTGACCACATCGAGAGGTAGAGGCCGTTCTTCCACAGATGCCTCGAGACAGCACACCAGAACCCTGCAGCCACAGTCTCACTCTGGAGGACAAATTCATGGTTGTGCTTCTCATCTCTCCCCATTAGCAGAAATATTCTTAATTATCTCACAATCAAACAGTTGGTTCAAAGTCAGTGGCTGAATCGACCAAATGGCCCAAACTTGAATTTGAAAATTGAAGAATTTTTCATTATGTATTGGATCTAATGGTAACAGGCAGAAATATATTACTGTATTATTACTATTACCAAGCACAAAAATATCATCACACAGACTTATAATCAACACACTTAAGATTTACAATGAAAAAGATAAAAGCTCACATGCAGGGGCTAAATCGGGCCCAATGTCCCGCCTCAGACACTGGCCCAACAAATGCAGGACACTCGCTCCTCCTAAGATAATTAGTCCAACTAAACAGTCCGACGGTGACGACTTTGCAAGAACAGACTAACAAGCTACAGTCGCAGTCAGAAGGACAGCAGTACATAAATTTAACGTGTATTCTTCTTGACATAGTTACTTGTGAACACTACAGACAAATCAAACATGAGAAAGGAATTCTCTCCTACTCTTACTAAAAGCAAAGGGATAAATCTGTATTAGTAACTAAAGCTGATTCATGTATTGGGACCACAATAAAAGTACTTTGTTTTCACCTGTTTTGGGATTATATCAGGCAGCTCCTCCTGTCGTTTTAGTTTAGTATGCTTTAACACAAAAGCAGAGTCAGTATCTGATGAATTCTCATCGTCTTTCCTCCTTTTCTTCTTCTTCCTCTTTCCAATTAAGTGCTTCTTGCGGCATCTGGACTTACTCTCACGATCCCCACCTGGAAAACAGTTTACCAGCTCTGCATATTTTTGCAGCAAAAAATATTGTATGTGACATATACAGGACAACATCTGGCAACGTAGACAGAATTTACAAGGAAATGGGAAAGGAGAACCGCGGAGCTCAGAGTCTGACTGCACTTGGATGATGTGACAGCAGATGCTGTTTATGTGGGTCTGCTGTGGTGAAACGACAACATGCCGAAGATGGACAACAAAGCACGCGTCTTAGATTATAGCCACTTACCAGCAATATTCGTTGTTAGTTTTTATAAATGATCTACCAGTACGTAAACTTTAATGAAGGATGGCCCCCTGTGGACTCGGCTAAAAGACATACGTCTACATCATTAAAGCAGTATTGAAGAAGTTTTTAGAGAATTCCACACTGATAATTGTCACATTACTCAAATAGAAACTACTAATACACTATTGAACCTGGCCCTTGTTTTGCTCTTCAACTTCTCTGAGTTTGGTTATGCAGCATGTCTGTAGGTTCTCAGTCATTCCAGACATCGTAATCTAAGGAGCTTGGAATGAGAAGCAACTGGACTTCTTTCAGTTTCTTGAAAACGTGTGCAGACCTCAGACCTCTGCATTGGAGAAACCAAACAGCTACTCCATAAGCGCACGGCACAACATAGAAGAGCCACCTGGACAGGACAAGACTCAGCTGTACGTCTGCATCTAAAGGTCAAAGGTCGCTCTTTCGAGGACACCAGAGAAGACAGATGGTTTAAAAGAGAGTTGACAGAAGCCATCTATGTCCACTGTGAACGACCATCCTTGAACAGAGCGGATGGCTTACCACACCAACCATCTGCCACCTACAATCCAGTTTTGAAATCCCTTCCCTGGCGTCTTAATTAGGGGTGGTATCGTTTAGGCTTTATCTGTGCCAAATCTGTACTTTTGAAACGGTGCCGGTGCTTAAAGAATGGAGAACACAAACCTCTCATGTTTTTATTTTTAGCAGTCTCTTTTTCTCCACCATCCAGCCCCACGCACCGGGCGATCCGTGCTAACTCACTAATGGAGATTTACCACACCCGCAGCAGATGTGCTCGGTGTGAGGTCTCGCAGCAAGCTATCAAATACGGTGCATTTCTCGGCTTTTAAAAAAAACGCTATGCGTCGCCAGGTGCTTCATCAGATTCCAGGTGTTACCTCCTTTGACAGTATCACAGTATCAGCTTAAAGCACTTGTTGCTGCTGAGTTTGCATCTTTTGCTGTGAAGTACAGCCAGACTTTGACCGCTTCACCTTGGACATTTTTAATCTGTAGCTCTGCTCTAAAAGAACGTACGTACTTGGGCCCGCCTACTATCCTTGGAAAGGTAAAATGATTGGCTGGAATCCAGAGTGTATGACAGCTCAGAAAAAAAATGGCACCGGATATCGGTACCCATCCCTAGTCCTAATGCCCACTCACATTTTGCGTCAGTTCATCTACACAGACACATGATAGGGTGAGTCAACTGGCCCACACACTTTTAAACAGCTTGGCTCATGTGATGAGGCACATGATCAATAATAGGTTGAGGAGACTTTTCCTCACCCTATCATGTGACCTATCAGGTCACCTGACGCAAAATGCGAGTGCGTGTTGAGGTACCTGGGAAGGGATATCAAGACTGCTTTGTAGGTGGGTGTCTTAAGCCACCCCCTCTGCTCAATGATGGTCATTCACAGTGGACATACATGGTCTCTGAGAACCTACACAGACATGCTGCCTTCCAGAGCAGACAAAACCTTGAAAAGGGTGCAGTTAGAATACAGTACAAAGGACCAGAGTCTTCATGTAGCTAAAGAAGGACATCAAAGACGGGGACAATGTCAAACCAATCAGCTTCTGGGAACATGAGACTGAAAAGGGCCAGCTGGTCAGCAGTGACTTAACTTTTAAATAAGAACAAGGGGATTGTCTACTGAAAATATTTTTTAAAAACATATATAAAGATTAGCCACAGAATAGGGCAGCTGTGAATATACCAAGTCTATCTGCGGCAAACACTCGATGCTCAAAAAGTTGACAATATAATAAAGAGCCGTACCTTGCTCTGTTTTTCTTTCCGTTGGTGTTCCTCTTCTATGAAGCAAAGATAAAGCCTGAATTAGGCACATTTAAACAGTCGTAATTAACAGTAAAACGGCAGGAAGCTATTGACTGTTTTTGTACAGTAGTGTTGCCCCCCTGAACGATCTAGGTTGCGGGCTACACGTTATCCCACCGTGTATGTAGTAAACCTTTTTACTCCCTTCATTCACTGACTTTTGAAACTGGACATAATGCACAGGTAAAGTTACAGGTTCCTTTGTGAGCCCAGCCCCTTCCTCTCAGACTATCACATGCTTTCTTTGGAGTTATATTTGCTGGCTGAGCACGTGAGCACACAGGTTTTCTGACTGTGGATGTTGCAGCATGTGCTTTCAGGATCACCTTGACTTGTGTTTATTTTTTCGCTTCAGGTCTGCCCCAGACTCTGAACTACTGTCCTTCTCTCGGTTCCTCTTCTTCCTCTTGCTTTTGTGTTTTTTGTGCTTCTTGTGCGAACTGCTGCTTCTCACGTCTTTGTGTCTCTTTGTAGAGGCATTTTCTGCTCCATCCACGTTACTGCAGTCACCCACTCTTTTAGCATCACTGATGGACAGAGGCAGAGAAAATACGTGTTACTGTTTGACCAGAAAGAGTCAGCCAACGCTTATTAAATGTCTAATATTCTGAAGCCTCTCCCTGCACCGCTTATTGGATAGTAAGATCCAGATGAGGTGTTTAACATGCCTGTTGAAGATTTAAGAGGTTTCAGGTTTCTTTTATCATTGCTTCGAATTCTTTTCATAGTCTTATCATTAAAACCGGCAGTGGCTTAAATAGAAAAATGTCCGCTTCAAACCTAATTAACTGTTTTTAAACTTTACGGACTCTCTCGGCTTTCTTTTCGACCTCCCGCGTCCACGAATGGCCTCGCTCCTAGCGGTACAGTTTAACTGAAAACAAACCTAAGCAACGTTAGCTTTCATCCTTTATTTGGCAACTGGTGCAGCAACCGGTAGCTGCAGCAGCGACTAACATGTCTGTTCAGTGAAATTTCAAATAACGTCTCAATAGAAGAATACAAACAAACAACATACGCTTTGTCCTCATTCTGGTCTTCAATTTCTCTGATTTTATTTAATATGAAATCTTGAAAAATTTGCTCTATGTTGGCCGCCATGTTTTAATGTGCATCGCTTTGCCGTTCCGGGTGGAAAGTGAATATCTGTGGCAATGTTCCGGATGAAAATCTGTTCCTCCTCAGCAGACTACACGCAATCCTATACAGTTCCTCTGTATAGGGTATTGTTTTTTTCAGTAATCATTGTCATAATGATGATGATGATTATTATTAATTACTGTTGTCTCTGCTCAGTTTATTATTATTATTATTATTAGGGCCCGAGCACTGAGGCCCTACTGTATCTTTCATCTTCTTCTTCTTCAGGCGAAACAAGGGCCTTTTTGAGGGCTTTAACATGCTCAAAAACTCATGAAATGTTGCACACGTGTCAGGTCTGGTGACAAATTTCGTATTTTAATGGTTTTACATATGAGCATTGGTAAATGGCTCTGGAGCGCCACCTATGTGTTGTTAAATGCAGTCCTACGAACACATCGTTTGAGCTACATGAATGAAATTTGGCCCACATGTGTATCATGCTGACATGAACAAAAAAGTCTGTGGGACCATTGACACAAACCCAACAGGAAGTCCATCATTTTGGACTGAATGTGACATTTTGGCTCAGTTTTTGCTATTTCCAGGCCTTGTACTTTTGCAAACTCCTCATCGGGATTTGATCTTATCAGCTTCATATTTGGTCAGTGCCAGCTGCACACCTGGGCCATGTTAAATTGTGGAGCTGTTGAGTTTTTGGGATAGGGTGTGGCCGTGGCGCCACAACCGATCCAAAATATCAATTACCAGTCTTATGTTGTTAGTTATGTGTCTGCCATTCATAAAACCAGACTGTGTTTCATCAATGATATCATTAAGTGCACATTTTAATTTTTTAGCCAAACACATAGCAATTATTTTATATTCATTATTCAGTAGTGAAATATGTCCAATTTTCTATCAAAAGGGCATCTTTTTGAGGGTTAGGAATCCAAGTAATTAGTCCCTGAGTCAAGGAATCATTATCAATGCTTTCAATATATACTTTATGTAAAAAGCGTGATAAGTTCTTTGAAAATAATTTGTAAAATTCAGAAGTCAACCCGTCACTCCCTGGACTCTTATTAGGTTTAATTTTATTAATAGCACCTTCAATATCTAGTGTTGTGATGGGGGCATCACACACAGTTTTATTATTGTCACTAATTGTTTTAATATTACCTAAGAAATTATAGAATTTTTCCATGGCTTCTGTAGAAAAATTAGATTTATAAAAAGTTTTATAAAAAAGTTCACAAGTCTTGGAAATCACTTGAGGTCGTGTGTGATGACCCCATCTGAACAAAGTTTAGTCATGCTGCCAAGTGTATTGTCATGCTTTTCTAATTTTAAAAAATAGCTCGAGTTTTGTTCTCCCTCTTCAAGCCATTTATTTCTTGACCGCACAAAGGTGCCTTTGCCTTGTAAATATATATATTATCTCATTTTAATTGTAAAATTTGAAGTCTGTTCCGGTTATCTTCAGATATATGATCAGGTGATCTAGACAAAGCGATAATTTCAGAAATTATTTCAGACTCTTCTTTTTTTCTATTTTTAACTATTTCAGCTGCTCTTTTCATTAAAAGGGACCTCAATTTAAATTTCATGAACTCCCAATTTTTACAAAAGACTTTTTCAAAACATGCCTTATTCCAATACTCATCTATTTTTGTTTTAATTTCCTTTACCAAAGAATCATTCAGTAGAAGAAAATTATTTAATTTCCAATATGAATTCTACGGTGGCCCTGAGAGGCCAAACAGACTGCAACTTCAGAAAACACCAGCAATAAGAAAAATGCTGCAAAAGCACACAAAACACAACGGAAATAGAAAAAAACACAATGGAAGTGTTTCTGGGGAGACAATAACCTGACGGACCAGTTGCAGGAAGCAAAATAAACTCTGGACCCCACGTGACTACCAGTTGTCAGGTGACTAGTGATGGTAAATTCAATTCTTTTTACTAAATCGAGTTTGAATGAGTCACTCACCAAAGTGAATCGGATTTTTTGAGTAATTTAAGTCAGTTGACCAGAGAGTGCAAGAAATTTACATTTTTCACTCAAACTTAATTTTATTTCTCTTTTCATGTAAATTCTGCTAAGATGAGTGATTGGAAAAGAAAAAACAATTATTTTTATAGAGCAAAAAAGAGCAAAAAAAATTCTAAAGGGAACATTTATTTTTATTTTTATTTTATTAGTATTTTCCTCAAATGTGTCAAATATATATTTTCTCATCTAAATGTCCTCTGAGCTGTGAGCTGTGAGCTGTGGGCGATAATGCTCCTTAACATTGGTTGCCAACCAAGCTGTGAGCCAGGAGTAACTCAAATGTGCTGTTAGCATGTTAGCAGAGTGATGCTACTGTGAACTGAGGAGTTATTGTCTTGATGTGAGCTTCTACTCAGGGTTTTTTCCTCCAGTTCAGAGCAGAAATGTTTTTATTAACAAACTGGCTGTTGCTTTTCCCCCCCACAATTTTAATTATAAGTTAGATATATTTCTACTAATGAGATTAGTTTGCTGTTCTGTTTGGCTCTCAGCGAAGGCGGCCGCACTTTTCTCCTCCTTCCCCTTACCTTCCCTGCTTAGCCTCTTGTGTCCTTGTCTTGTCTCGTGTGTAGTTCACTTCCCTGGAACACTCTCTCACAGTCTGTGTCTAAAAACCTAAAAGAGAATTATGGATTTGATCAACTGGTCTCTGAATGCTTTTGACACCCTTTTCTCAACGAGAAGTCTGGGCTCGGGAGAGCCCGAGTGCATTACATCAGGGAAGAGTCCACTCGGAACAACACCTCTGGGCGGAAGCTGGATTACATCTTGGATCAGTTGGCTGCAGTCGTGAGGTCTCAGAATCTGCTCTGTGAGCAAAAGTGTGAAAAGACCACGGAATTGA